CCAAATTTGGTAAGAATTGTTATAGGTCCATTAAATGGTGCATCCTAATACGTCCCTTTATCTAGGGTTTGTAGTTCATGATTCATCTTCATCCTCTATGTTGATACTTGATGTCGCAGTAAAATTTTAAACTGTCCTTTCCCAAATATAAAACCGGGGGCTGACTAACTGGAAGCAGGCAAACAGCTTTTGCTACTGAGGCCATCTCCGAGAATGAAGCACTGTATTGTGTCTGTAACGATTGAATTGAAGCATTTACCTTTTTCTTCTTATAAACCCTTAAGATGAGATAACTTCAGAGGAAATGATTCTTACAGTTTTATATGCTGTGGTGCTTCACCTGAGCACACATACCTGCATTTAAGATTAAAATAGTGAAGTCACTGCATTATGAAGAGGAAATATTACATTCTATTTCTGTCTGAAGGAGTCATAGCAATAATCTATATCCAAGCCTGTATTTCCAGTGGCGACTGGCTTTGATTTGGCCAGAGTTGTTGATTTGCTCAAATTTTGAAACATTAATGGTATAATAATTGCTTGCTATTGAATGTTGAGTGGAATATCAGTCATTTCAATTCTTATTGAGTGCAAACAATTCAACATGACATTCTCTATCCTAATCATGGAAGTGTGTAAATTTAACCTAAAGAACTGTTGATCCTTTTAATTTTCTTTCAGGAAGTTTCAGGATTGCCAACTTCTTTGAAGCGAGAACCCCATCCAACAACTTCTCCTGATGTAATGGGAGAATCCTCAAGCTCAGGTATCTCAAGACTGGACAAAGCAGACAGTTTCCGAGGTCCTTAGATTTGTGAAGTGCATTGTTCTCTATGTTTTCTAGTTCGCTGTCTGGAAAAATATACTATCAATTACTGTACTGTGTGAGGCATGTAGGATCTTGTTCATTTTGTCAGTGTCTTTGGTTATGCCATCTCTGTCGCATTTATGTTTTTTAAGACAAAATTATTTCTTTCATCATATGAGCACACACATTTTAGTTCTTCTTGATCACTATACTCGAACATTCAATTGCAAGTCAGCAGGAACAATATCCTTTCATCTTTTCAAACAAAAATGGAGAACTGTCATTGCTTTTTTCCCCTTTGCTCGTTAACCTTATCTGCACAGTTTTCACTTGTCATTGCAGTGAATTACATAATGAAATGGGTCTTGGGCTTTAGCTCTTTTAGATGGGAGCGCAAAGTGTTCTAAAAGGAGTAAGCTTAGAGTGGTCTGTGGAGTATATCTACAGATAAGGGCAGGGTCAGGATTTGAAGTTGATGAGTTTTGAATTTTAATATTTTTAAATTAATAAATTGTAAATATTTTTAAGATACGTAAAATTTGAACCAAGACTACAGGTTCAATCGGCACCCACCTAAAATATCTTATTTTTTTCGTTTACAATTTTAAAAGAAATTAAAATCTTATAAATAGATAGAGATAATATTTATAATGATATTTCAAGTCAACAATTCTTAGTGCCCAATCTAATTTTATTAAGGACATTTTTCTTATCCCTCCGATTTTTTAATATATGTGTGATACATCTTGTCTCAGTATAAAGTTTAATTAAAAATGATTATTTTTAAAAAATAAATTATGATCTTAAATATATTATAATATTTGTGTGACCATAAATGGTCTTGCTAAAGATACAATAGAAGGTTTAACATTAATTTATTTCAAATATAAAAATATATCTTTTAAAAAACTAGTGTCATGTAAATTCTAATGGAAGGAATACACCAGGCGTTTATGCTAATAGCAGGGGGGAGATCAAGACTATAATTGGCACTAGAGGCCTTCATTTGCCTTGAGCTAATTTCAATACTACATGCCTTAAATATTTTTCTTCAAAAAAAAAAACCCTACTAGTATTTTTATTTGAAGTCTATTTTTCTAAAATTTTGAGATAAGAAACTACAAATAATTATTTTATAACTAATTCTGCTAATAATTATTCTTAAGTTAATAATATAGCTAATACATTTCTCTCGAGACATTGTTATTTTTAGGTTAAAAATTACCAATTCTAATATAAGCAATATTTGGAAAAGAATTAACTCTTTTTATTTTAATAGTCTCTAAAGAATTGATTTTTCTTTTTTAGTTTTAAATATATGTCATAATTCATATTTTTTTAATTAACATATTTAAATTCTTGTCGTAAATAATATAAAAGTAATATATACCTACAAAATGAAAAATCAAAAACAAATTTTAGATGGAAAAAAATTACTTTTTACTCATGAATTAATTTTTATATTTAAAAAAAAAAAAACAAAAACATACAACCTTGTTGGTAAAAAATGAGACCACCAAAGGTTTAGGGGCCTAAAAGCCCTTTAGTAAAGGTTTAGGGGACTAAAACCCTTTATTTTACTAAAATAAAAACCAAATCCAGGGGTAAATTAGAAATATACTGAATTTGGTAAATAAATAATGAGAAAGACAACGGCTAGTAAGCGAACGGTAACCTCAACGGTCATAAAATTGAAAATGTTTCCCTAAATTGAACCCAACTTTGAATCTTTGTCAGTCCGTCTCTCTTCCTTCTTCCCTATTTTTGTTCTATTCTCCTAAGCACATCTCAACTCTCCCTCCACTACTGTTCAGATTCCACATATTCTTGTCAATTTGCTGTTCACATTTCGCAATATTACGAAGATGTTGCAAGATATGTGGAATGCACCCCCAGGTTTCAGACCCACCAAGTCGGCTCCATCTTCCCCGGCCAAACCCCTCGGAGTCTCCAGAACTCGTTCCGAATCCTTTCACGTTGCCCACAAAGTCCCCATTGGCGACAGCCCTTATGTTAGAGCCAAAAATGTTCAAGTAAGTTTCTTGCCATACATAATTTAATTTTAACTTTTCAAAAGTCATTTGGGTGCAAGATAGTGGAAACAATCTCTTTGCCTCTGAATGTAGAGTTACAGTTGTATACGTACACTCTACCCTCTTCAGATACCACTTTGTGGGATTATACTGGGTATGTTGTTGTTGTATTTGGGGATAAGATATGGGTTTATTCGCTTGGAACTCGAGCCCAATTCAAATCCCAGATCCACTTCTGTTTAGATGCATATTTTCTTATCTTTGAAAGGAAAAGTCCAATCATTTTATTGTTGGTTGGTTTTACTATGAAAATAATGTGATTTATTTTTCATTTATATTTTCAGTTGGTCGAAAAGGATCCGGAAAGGGCGATTCCATTGTTTTGGGCAGCGATTAACGCAGGAGATAGAGTTGATAGTGCTCTCAAAGATATGGCAATTGTAATGAAGCAACAAAATAGGGCTGAAGAAGCCATTGAAGCTGTTAAATCTTTGAGAACTAGGTGTTCAGATCAGGCACAGGAAGCTCTTGACAACATCCTGTTAGACCTATATAAGGTCTGCTACATTTTCAAAAAAAATTATCATCTCTGATATCTGAGAAGCATACTACTGTTCAAATAAATGCAGTTCTTCTTTATCCTTCCTTTAAATATCTGCTAAATTTGTGATATCTGCAGAGATGCGGAAGATTGGATGACCAAATAGTCCTGTTGAGGCACAAATTGTTTTTGATACAACAAGGTTTGGCCTTCAATGGAAAGCGTACGAAAACTGCGAGATCCCAGGGGAAGAAGTTTCAGGTTTCTGTGGAGCAAGAAGCAACTAGATTACTGGTAAATATACAATTATGAGACTTGTACTTCATAGTTTTCGATCTCGCCTATTAAAATGAATATTGTTTGATAACAATTATTTGTCAATCTTTCAGGGGAATTTAGGGTGGGCGCTGATGCAGCAAAATAACTACATTGAAGCAGAGGATGCTTATCGTAGGGCACTAGTGATTGCACCAGACAACAACAAAATGTGCAATTTGGGTATCTGCTTGATGAAACAAGGGAGAGTTGGTGAGGCAAAAGAGACACTTAGGAGAGTTAAACCAGCGGTGATAGACGGCCCCAGAGGTGTAGATTCCCATCTCAAGGCCTACGAAAGAGCACAGCAGATGCTCCGGGACCTCGAATCTGAAATGATGAATAAAGGTGGTGATAGAATTGAACAAAGGAAGCTGTTTGATGCCTTCTTGGGGTCTTCCGCTATCTGGCAGCCTCAGCCTTGCAAGGAACATAATACTAGCACTTCGAGTAAACCTACCAAGTCAAGCCAGCCTCAAGATGAATTTGCTAATGAGAACATCAATTCTACTAACATCATCAGAAACCAGACAGCTCCTTCTCTGCAAAAGAGTATGAACCCAAATATTTCATATGGGAACCTACTCAATAGCGACGCTCCACCATTTTATTCGACCAAGACTACGAATGAACCAGCAAATGTCCCGATTCCAGAGAGTCTTAAGAGAACAAGATCTGGAAACGCAACTCAACTAATGAGAAAAGAGTCTCTTGGGACAATCACTGAACCAGAAAATAAGATGAGAAAGCAGTCAATTTCACCAGAGAAAACAGAAGACAGATGGGCAGGGTTGCTGCCAGATAGCAAGGATTTTGAAGATGCTATAATTGCAGCCGCTCTGGGATCAAATCAGGAAACATTCAAGCTGGAAGGAAGCAAAGATACTGGAATCCTTCCAAGGAAAGTTGAGAAAAGATTGAGGGTTTTTCAAGACATTACCTTGTCGATGAGTCCACGAGCCTGACTAACTTTATTTATTTATTTTAGCTATATGATTAGTAGTCTAATTTCATTTTTAAATTACGGTAACATCATTGATTTTTAACTATCATCGGAGATAAACTTGTTCTCCTTTACTCCATACTTCCTCAAGAAGGTTGTTATGTGGTAACACCCTAATGTCTTTTAGGCAGCGTCTAATTATTGATATTGTTGGTGCCTTGGCAATTATTCTTCAATAAAAAGTTATTTCTTCTTTCTCATGTGATGGATTGTAATTTTCACTCTTTCAGTACTAGATTTTATCTTGCACTCTCCAAGAAATGCAAAATGTGATGCAATTTGTGAACAATTCTTGCTCAATAAGAAACAATTGAAACCTTTTTATAGAATGTTGAATGTTTACATTTTAAGTACAACTGAGGTTATTGATAGGAGATGTATTATTGATGAATCATGGTGTCCAACTGTCTGTTCATGCTGATTCAGTTTCCGATTTACTATATTTTTTGTTTCTATTGAGCTCACCACCAATGTTACTGGAACTGATGTGGTGAATGCTTCGCTGTCCTCCTGTTGATTACATAGAAGAAACTCAGTATTACAACAGCGGCTGCAACAGCAACTCCAACTCCAACAGCCTTTTGTGCCCCCAGCACCTTCTTCACTTGTGACACACTTTTTTCTAATGTTGATTTAATAAATGCTGAATATGGTAAGCCAAGATCAGCGAGCTTCTTGTGTGCCTCTTCGTAGTTCTCAAAGAAATCCTCTTTATGCTGAATATGAAAAACCATTTTGAGTATATTTAGCTTGAAAGTTAAAGATAATGCAGTTGTTTTGGGGCCACAGTAGATATATTCATAATATTAAAGAGTTTTATGATGTGTTGCAGCAATTGAACTTTGAGAATAGACATGAGCTATCATAATACCGTTGCATAACATTGCACACAGTTGTGGAATTCCGGATCATCAAGCAGAGCTTTTTCCGCGGGACTTAAATCCTTCTTCTTGTCGACGAGGTCCCTAAGATATCATTTGGAAAAGTAAACATGACATTTTTTTCCTTGTAATGAATGGTGAAATATAGAAGAAGTCTGGGTGTATAGTAATCATACACAAAGTATGAGTTGTCCAATTTCAAATTCGTACCCTGAGCTCCAGCTGTTGCCTACAGCAGCAAACCGAAAAGAGGAACCATAAGACAAAACAGCATTTATATACATGTGAGAAATATGAGTATATTGATGCAGATCCATATATGCACATACCAGTTTGAGACCTCCATATAATGCTACTATATGCTTGGGATCAGAGATTTCCACTTTTCGGAAGACATCTCTTAGTTCTGCTGGACCTAAAAAACCAGCATCGAAACACAGTAAACAACAAGACGTATGGAGGAATATAGCACTTCAAAATGATATATAGATCAGCTAATTTACATATGACTTACTTTGTTTGACATCAGGAAGGCAGCTTTCATCTGGTGAAATTAATGATTCCTGGTAGAAAGGTAGTAAAACTTAGTGATGGATTTAAAATAAATAAAAGTAGGAGTACAAGTTAGTATTGTCCCAATGTATGTGGCTCAATTTTCATTTTAGTCCGTTCCAAAAACGATGTTATCTTTCTATAATTAGAAATATTAACTTTAATTTTCTCTTCTTATCCTTGATTTACAGTCCTAGACCACAAATTTTAAAAGTTTCTTTATTTCTTAAACTATATGACATAAATTGCGACAGGATTATAAATTTTTCATCTTTCCTTTGCGTACCGTTCTACCAGGGACAAACTCGATGTCTAGACCACCAAGTTCTTTAACAGCAACAATCCCAGCAAGCTGCATTACCAAATATTCAATTACTAGCTTGCATGCATCTGGTATTAATTAATTAGCAAATTACAAAATGGACAAAAATTATTGATACAACAAGTATATATATCTCACCTGATAGAGGTCAGGATACGTTATTATGGGATGATTGGCCTTGATTTTTGCTGCAATATAAAGGCATTAATTAGAAGGTGCATAGTACTCCCTCTGTTCCAATTTATTTCTCTTATTTTCTTTTTTAGTCTGTTTCAAAAAGATAATTAACAATCTATTTGCATGAAATATAAACTTACCAATTGTTTTGAGAGAATTATTATTGGGAGATTGAGTTTTCTTTTTTGTGGCATCATCAGTAGAAGTAGTATTTCCTGCATTATCATCATGATGAGAATTGGCAATTGTGAATTGGGATGCGTACGCTAAACGAAGAAAATCAGGAGCACTGAACTCCTTCGATTTTACAAGATTTTCAAGTTCTATTCGTGCTTTGTTTATCTCTTCCCGATATTTCTCATCTACTCGTGGTGCCATCAATAGTACACTGAAACTATATATTATATCAAATGGTGGTCGCCGTTTTGGCTTAACTTTGATTTGATGAATGAAGATAAGAAACGGGAAATATATATAGAGCTAGCAATGGGGAGGGGAATTTTATGAGGGTGTTGTAAAGAAGCAATGAATATGGAACAATAAAAGAAACGAATTGGTTATTTTGCTTCCTTCGTATGACAATGATTATGACTCGTGAATAACATGGAGGGGAAAAAGGAAGTAGCCGTAGGTAGGCATTTTATTGGAGCAAAAAGAAAAGAATCATTTGTAATTTTGTAAGACGGAAGAAATAGGCAAATACCCCCTCCCTTCCTTTTTACTTATTCAAACTTTATTTTTTACTTGGACAAATCAAGAAAATACAATATTTTTTACCTATTTTATCCTTAATTTATTTAGAGAGTTCATGTTTTTGAATTAAAAAAAAAAAGATAAAAACTCTTTAATGAGTTAATTGATTTTGAAATTCTATCAATTAATAGGAATAAAATGATAAATTCACTATGTCAAATATTAGTCAAGTAAAAATTGGACAAATAAATAGGGACAATGGAGTAATCCCTAATTACTTTTCGTACCATTAATTAATATTTAATTATAATTTCAAAATTATTCAACATTCGAGCTCTTTGTAATGCGAAAATAAAATTTGAAGCAAATTATTATCGGGATGCTAAATGGCTAGAAAATTTGGTCAGAAAATTAAAAAAACTATAATATTTTATTTTTTAAAAAATAAATTGATCTTTTTTCCATTTTTTAGTTAAAAGGTATTAAAGTTAAAAGGATAAAAATATTTAAAAAGGTAAAATAACATACATAAAATATCATTCTGGCCAAATTTTCTGGCCAAAAAGATTTTTCCATTATTATCTAAGAATTTCAGTACATTATTTGGAACTTTTATGTGTGAAACTCCGTGTCATTATATATATTGGAGTACCAAAAAAATCCTAAAATTTGAAATGTGCAATGTATGGAATTTGAGTTGTTTCATTATCGAACTTGGGGACAGTTTCATATGTTCCCTGATCCCTTGAATTCCACTTTCGCTATTTAACTCAAGAATTTTTTTTATTTGAAGAAATTAAAACTAGAGTTTATAAATGTACCATAAATTGATACTTTAACATTATTGTGAATGTAAAATAAACTGTGAACCCAAATATTGGACTGTTAGTTTGGTGTCAAGTTAGCTAAGAGTCACCAAAATTTGTAACTTTAAATTTTAAATTATAGATTCTCCTATAACTTATATAAATATTAGTAATATATAATTTAATATTACTGGTTGACTGTGCTAGTTTGCATGTAATTTTATACTCTAGAAAAAAACATTGTAGGAGTATTAATACTCCTACAATGAACAGAGAACTACCAAATGACGAACAAGCAAACGACTAAAATAGTCGATTGCATTGATTGGACTAAAACGACCCCCATTTTGCCATTTCAAAATTGATACAAGCATTTGGATTTAATTAAAGGCTATATATTTACAGATATCTCAATAGAGTTTTGACTTGAGAATGGAGACTTCTGGCGTATATGAAGTTAAAATTACAAGGTATCTCTAAGTTCTTTTATGTTCTTTTTGCAATAAACTATAATAAGTGACATTACAACTTGTACAAAACAGAGAGAAATAACAAATGTGATGCCAATCCGTGAACAATTCTTTCTCAATCAGGAATATGTTTGAAACATGGTAGATCTATGATATTTCAAAGCCACCAAAGGCATGTTATTTTACACTTGAGTAGCTACAATCAGCACTCCCAAGATTTATTGATCAAACATAAAGAAATAGTAGCATCATTCTTAGCGGTGCCAATAACAATCGCCAATTTTGATGCCATTGAATTATGGAGCTATTCAGTTTCCAGTTTGCTTCAACTGAGTTCGCCAATGTAATATTGAGCTTTATGGAACTTGTGTGCTTACTAATGCTTGATTCTCCTGTTGACTTCATAAAAGTAACTCAATATTACAACAGCTGCTGCAACAGCAACTCCAACGGCACCTTGTGCCAACACCGTGCTGTTCTTTACTGTTAACTTGAAGCAAGATGAAGGTGGTGTGAATCCAAGCTCTGAAAGCTTCTTGTGTGACTCTGCATAGTCTCTGAAGAAAGCCTCTTCGTCCTGTCACACAAATTAGATATTAGCTATTACAGAAAACTTTCTGAGTGAGATCGCCAGAAATTTTGAAGAATAGTGCAGCTCATTAGCCAAATAGATATATTTGATAGTGGTTAAGTTGGAAGAAAGATTCTACTAGATAGTTGTGTATTCATTTGTTTACAAATTAAACATATATGGGAGTGAAAGACCTTGGCGCTGGGTGGACTAGTCAAGGATTGTACCATAGGCTTAAATATCAAGTGTCTCGAGCAAAACCAGAACTACTTAAGGTTGCAAAAATTCCAGTACCCCTCACATAGTTCAGTGTTTGTCAAACCATCAATAGGAAATAATAGTCTAGCATGCAAATCCTTAGTAATCATCAATGTATATCGACAGAGTGACAAATGAGTGGAGATAAACTTCCCACAATTTAGTCAGCCTTGCTGGTTTTCTAAGTTATTTTCCTCCATGCATTATGCAATGTAGTGAGGTTACAAATGTAAACTATGTGTTGCAACAATTGACCATTAAAACAATGCACGGAAATATGAGCTACAATACCTTTGCATAAAGCTCCACATAAGGGCGGAATTGTGGATCTTCAACCAAAGCTTTATCCGTGGGAAGCTTCAAGAGATCTTCTGAATCCTCCTTGAGGAGCTCCCTAAGAGATCATTGTACCATTTGGGCAAGCAGTCATGAAATCATTCTTTTAACAATGATGAAATATAAAAGAGGTTCCAGCATATACTAATCTTACACAAAGTATGAGTTGTCAAATTTCAAAGGCTCTTTAGTCCAAGGGCCCTCAAAGCCAGATCTCTCTGGATGTGCTCTTCCCTGCAACAGTGAACACAAAAGAGGAACTTTAAGACAAACAGCATTATCATTTGAGAGAAATATATAAATATCTAAATGCAGATTCATTAGACAAAATACCAGTGTGTGTCCTCCAGACAATGCCACTATATCTTTGTCAGAGAGTCCCATTCTGTAAAAGACACCCCTCAGGTGTGGTGGACCTAAAAAGGCATTATAACGTGGAACAAAGTAAGTGATGAGCAACATGCTGAGAATTATGTTTCGAAATCAGAGCACTGAGTTGTAGAACCCTCTCAGAAATTCATGCCAATTCTTCTAATTAGTCAAAGGTAGCAGCTGGCAGTTGTTTTAGCAATATTTACAATTTTTGCAATAGGATATCACCAAGTCCAGTTCAATGTTCATAATGTTCAAGAGCTCCCACCGATTGGAATATATTTTCCTTCACAAAATTTTCTTTAGAATAATGGGAAGCCCACATAAAACATGTTTAGGAGGCAACCAGTGCAAATTAGCAAAGAGTCATCTCCAAGATTATTGGCATCACTTCTACATAGATGCAGAACCAAGTAAAAAAAATTATATTCAACTTGTTCAAAACAAAATGATGCAACAACAATAATCAGGCACAGAATATGGCATAATGAGGACAATAGAAGCAATTAGGATAGATGAGGCTCCACTTGATTTTATGCACTGAATCAAGTTCAACTCAATTTTCCATTCGCACCTCAGGTGCCAGTAAGGTTAAATCTTAAACAAGCTAGCTATTTTTCATTATTTTTATCTTGTATTCTCATGGATTCCTTCCCTACAAGAGGATGAGGATCCTTATCAATTTGTGATACTGAGTAGAGTAAGTTACCTGTTCAATCAAATGCGAAGAATCCCAGAAGGTAAACTTCACATTTAAATTAGAGAAAAAATTGAGTTTTTTACCTTTTATCTGTTACTTTAATTTCAAATAATAGATCAGCTAAGCCAACATTTTTAGAAGACTAACCTTGTTTGGCATCAGGAAGGCGCCCCTCTTCTGGTGAGCTTAATGAATCCTGATGTAAAGGTGGAATTTACTAATTAAAGGCAATCCCATCAAATGAATTTGAAGTTCAAAATAGAAAAAGGAGGCATGTCTTCATCTTATCTGTACCTTTCTACCAGGGACAAAATCAATGGTAGGACCTCCAGTTACCTCAACAGCAACAACTCCAGCAAGCTGCAGTCCAGAATAAAAAGGTATTTATGCACAAATCAAATTTGTAAAAACCAGAATATTTTTGTTCCTCTGCATTATACTACTAATACAACTAATATTAAGGAAAACCTTCCAAAAATGGAAAACAGATCTTCGACACAAGTATTCTCACCTGATAGAGGTCAGCGTATGTAATTTTAGGATGTCTGGCCTTAATTTCTTCTGTACTCCATATAACAGAAAAGGTTTATTAGAAGATAGGATTTAGTACCTTCAAAGTTGATTAAACTAACAAAAGAAACACTTGTTGTAAACAAAATATGGGCATCGGAGGAGGATGTGTGATCAGCAGACAATGACCAGTCTATCTTAATTTAGAGCAAGCTTGGAAATTCTGTTTTTCTTGAAAATAGTAAAATTTTATGCTAAACATGGAGGAGATGATAGATACATACAAAGTTTTCATGCCGCTTAAAAACATGTTCTAGTAAAGGAGTTTATGTGGCTATTGTAAAATTAAACAGATTCTAACTTCTCCAAAATGTTTTCAACTGAAAGATGGTATCAGTATGAAGAAAAGTTCACTTCCGATACTAGTAAAGAAAAAAGAGGCATAAGAAACTGTTCAACCTAAAGTAAGACTCCAATTATATGCAGAACAAATTGACAGAATTTCATAAATATGATATGATCAACTTTTCATCTTCCAATGTAAACTCAAAAACAGTATGCAGAGCGATATACTAAAACATAACGTGATTTGCGCAGTTAACATCCAAAATCAACCAAAAGTTCACGTACTTAAACTAAAATCATTATCCATCGCATAAGCAATCATTATCAATGAACACAAATTCATTTCCAGCAGATTATTCAATAGATCTCTTATATAGGCGAACACAACTCCAGAAAATCAAAAGGCTAAAAAGCTTACCGCAAAGATCAATTGCGATTTTGAGGCCGCTGTTAGCGCCATGCTTGTACTCGACCTCATTCCTGATTGATCCATCAGGTCCTCCAGTCCTTGTTGTAGCATCATAGGTTCCTGCATCATGCCACCTGCAAATTAAAATATCTTTATCATGTCAGATCAAAATTTTATTTCAACACAAAATTTGATAATTATGCATACATACGCTAAACGAAGCATAATAGGAGCACAGTTTTTGCTGGAGATGAGAGCTCGAAGATCTCTTCGTGCCTTGTCTATTTCCTTCAGATACTCTGCATCTACTATTGGTGCTGCCATTGATAATATAATTCGATGAAACAGCACACTGATATCTTAAACTTTTAGTTATGAAACTATGAAACTCGAGGATTGTATTATATAGAAGAACAGATGAAGAGGGAATTTTTTATATGAGTGGAAAGATAAACAATGAATATGGAAGAACACAAGAAACGAATTTACTTCTTCTCTAATATGGAGGGAAAACCCAAAAAAAATTATCCCATTCGCTTTCAGAAAGCACGTTAAGAACACTCGTCATAATTACGAAGATGATTGGCGCGTGTATAAACGTGGGAGTTGAAAAGCGTAGGGTACTGTTGGAGAATGTGTTGATATGCGTGCTATGGCGTGGGCATTTCTTATCTATTGGCTACCCTATGAGCCTCGTGTGCTGGGCTGCTGGCGGATCTAACGAACGTTCATTTTCTTGGCGTCAGCTTATTTTGTTGTTCACTATAGCTAAGGTCGAGGTTCGATTTGGATAGATTATTGATTAAAATCAAAATCAAATTAATTTAGTCAATTTTTTAAATTTCTAAAACCAAACCAAAATAAATGAAAAAAATAACCATCAGTTTGGTTATTGACGATTTGGTTCAGTTTTTCTGGTTTTTTCAATTTGAAAATACTAAATTTTTGAGGGCATACGTATCTTGATAGAAAAAAAATATCTAGTACATGAACAATCCACAAAAAAGCTATTGTTGATTCAATTAAGCAATACTAGAGTTATCATTACACGAACAAAGTTATTAAATTAAGAGAAAGTGTGTGACTATCTTATGAAAGGTATGGAAGGTTTTATGGAGCAAATTACAGAAATCACATACTTTTAAGGCAAAATTACAATTTATCCCTTAAAAATTTATAATTACAGAAATTCCTCATTTTCGTGCATCAAATTAGTGTATCAGCGCTTATATTATTGTATCTCGCACATCAGATTAATGTATCAACGCTTATATTATTGTATCTTGCGCATCAAATTAATGTATCAATGCTTATATTATTGTATCTCCCGCATGTATCAGCACTTATATAGCTCTGATACATTAATCTGATGTGCGAGATACAATAATATAAGCGTTGATACATTAATCTGATGCGCGAGATACAATAATATAAGCGCTGATACACTAATCTGATGCGCGAAAATGAGGGATTTTGAAGATTTGTAAAACTTATAGGGGATAATGGTAATAAGAAAATTAAAAGGTGGAATTTCTGTAATTTTTCCAATAAATTTTGATGGAATTGGACTTAGGATTGTAATTGGGCTAAAATTTAAGTGTTAGGCTTGAGAAAATGGTAAAGTTAAAAACTTAAGTTACTTAAAATTTAACAAAATATTTATATTTTATTTATAAATAATATATAAATAATTATAAAATTTATATGTCTAATTTATCGGTTTGGTTTGGTTATTTTTGCAGTTGTTTTTTAGTAAAACCAAAACCAAACCAAATAGTATCGGTCTTCAAAATTTAAAAACCAAACCTAACAAAATCAAACCAAATATCGATTTTTTTTAATCGATTTAATTCAAATTGTGATTCAATTTGATTTTTTAACCATAACCATGAACAACCCTAACTACAACAGGCTCATCTATGACGATTAATGGTTTATGGGCTTTTAAAATTTGGACTCTACCTGACTAGTAGCGAAAGCCCGTAAGAGTCCATTTCTTTTTCTTTAGCCCACCGCAAGTGTTTTCATAGTAAAAATTTCTCGGGAAGTCTATTTTGATGTCGTCAGTTAATTGTTATTCAACTTTTAAAGTTTTTGTATGTATATATTTTAAAGATCAAATTTTAGGTTTAGCAAATATAAAAATCATATTAGCGCTCTATAGCTACAGTTTTGCTATATGCATCTTATTTGTATAAATCGTAGGCAGGCAGCTTCGTTTGTAGAAAAAACGCAATGATTGTATATGTATATCGATTAGATAATTGTATATATGTAACTATTATGGATATGTATCAATGATTGTGTTTGTATATATGCATGAAAATTGAATTTGTATACAATTGAATCGAATTAAAGCATTCGTATATCAAATCTCTCTCTCTCTCATGCTTTATACAACACAAATTATACATTGTATTGTGTATAATTTGTGTTTGTATAAAGCGAGAAAGAGAGAATGACAATAGAGAACTGGGCAAGAAAATATTTGTATTGTATAATTATAAGTGTATAGGACGAAGATATATGTATTTGTATTTGTATATACAGTTTTCCCTCGCTTTATACAAACACAAACACAATTTATACATTTGTGTTTGTATAAAGTGAGAGAGGCGAGGGAGAGTGGCGAGCGGGATCAGGGAGAGTGGGGAGCGAGATTTCTAGGGAGAGACGCGAGTACAGATTAGAATTAAATGAAACTGTGGTTATAACATTTATTTTGAATTAATAGTTTGTTATTTTATACAATTTTTCCTATTTTAAATAGAGTAAATTTTAGGTTTAACAAACATAAAAATCATATTTGTATGTTATATCTATAGTTTGTATAATTGCACTCAATAACAAAGTTTATGTTTGTCATGGAGCATCGAATTTGTATAAATCGCAGGCAGGCATTCATTTGTATAAAATCGCAGCAATTATATATGTATATCGATTAGATAATTGTATATATGTAACTACTATGTATATGTATATATGATTGTGTTTGTATATCTGCACAAAATTTGAATTTGTATACAATTGAATTGAAATAAAACATTTGTATATTGAATCTCTCTCGCTTTATACAACACAAATTATACATTGTAATTTGTATAATTTGTGTTTGTATAAAGCGAGGCAAAAGAGAACTGGTTGGGGAAGATCTGTATTTGTATAATTATAAGTGTATAGGATGAAAATATATGTATTTGTATTTGTATATATAGTTTTCTCTCGCATTGTACAAACACAAACACAATTTATACATTTGTGTTTGTATAAAAGTGAGAGAAGCGAGCAAGATCAGGGAGAATGACGAGCGAAATTTCTGGGGAGAGAGGCGAATGGCAAGTTTTTGCTACATATTAGAATTAAATGAAACTGTGGTTACAACATTTAATTTGTTATTTTATATAATTTTCCCTTTTAAATATGCAGCATTTGAAATTGGGATTGACAAAATTAAACTTTAATCATATAGTGTCCAAAATTACATATGGTTGTATAGGCTATGGTACAATTCTATATAATTCTAACTCGAGTACTTGAAAGTAACACATTCAATTAACCTTCTCTAATATTCTAACTTAGAATTTCTAAGTATAAAGTTTTTTAAGTAACGAGGGTAAATACAATCTCAGTAAGAGTGGTATTTTGAATCCATCAAATGTTTTTGACATTATCATCAAACATCAATTGTATATAAAAGAAATTATAGAGCTTTTTACTAATTTTTAATGAATGAAACATCTCAGATATTTCAAATGTTGCAAATATCAAAGTAGAACCTTCTAAAAAAAAAGTCACAAATCATCCCAAATCTTAGTTGATCCTTGTCATATGTGGACCATCTTAATTGTATATACCTTGGCAAGAGTTTATTACTATAAATTAATTACTCCAATTTAGTATAAATGAATAGATTAATTGGATTACCACTTGCAGCCTGCAGCAGGTCTCCTCACGTGTTACCTCGTCCAGTCCTAGTCATGATTCCCCAAATATATTACTACTACTCCACAACGTAAGCTTAACTAGAGTGGCAAATAATAACAAAGGTTGTGGTGGAGTGGTAAACACTCATTCATCTTTAATCAAGAGGTCTCGGATTCGAGCCATCTTGGGTATGAAGTCGCCTTGGTTAGGGAACGCTTTATCTGTGGGACTTTTCAACGCGAATTCGGATCTAATCGGCTCCAATGTGGGAAACCAAAAAAAAAAAAAAAAAGAGTGGCCGATCCCTTTAAATAATTGATTGCTTGGACTTAAATGAGCTCGTTCAAAAATTGAACATACATATAAACTTTAATCTTGGGCCAATAATTGTCGATAATTAGTACGCGATTGGCATTGTATATCCAAGAGTAACATAGTGGTCTTTTGTATTGCATGTGACGAATTGAGTAAAAGTGGTTAATAATAATATATTTAGTATAATTTTATAGGTAAAGTATGAGAAAAGTAAAATATATATCGATCTTATAAAAATAATAATTAAAAAATCCTCGTTTCAAATACAACAAATTAAAATAAATATGAAAAAGTGAATAATGATACTCTAATTTAATTTAATTGTGCGGTCACCGCACAATTCTCCTATAAGATGAAATGTTGCAATAGTATATTTTCACTTTTCTTGCAGCAATTTTTTATGAGGGAAATTAGTTTAAAGTAGTGGGCATAGAGACAAAATTACCATTATTATAAGGAAGAAAAAAAAGGAAAAGTACTCTGCTTTCTCTTGTTTGTCAGAGAATAAAAAATAAATAAAATTAATTAATAAAGATAATGGTAAATCAAAATAAAAACAAAATGAAACAATTTGCTACTTTTCAATTTCGAAAAGGAAACGTTAATCTGGTAAAAATATCGGAAAGGAGAACAAAAATAGGACAAGGATGAAGACAAAAAGAAAAGCAAGTTACGTAGATTCTCTCTTTTTTCAAATAACGAAATAAGGGAAAATAAAATAAGTACTATTTTCCTTATTTAAAATTTAAGATTTACCAGAAGATAATTTGTATGACTAAATTGATACGGTAAGTTTTGGGTCAGGGTCGTCCATGTGGACTGATTCGACCCAATCTGTTTTGTCCTATTCAATTTAATTAGTTAAATAATACTTTTAAAAGAATAAGGGAGAACAGTTACTCTTTCCAGCTTCCCTTAAAAGACTTCTAGTGGGAGTCACATTGGTGAAAATGTGAAAACAAACAAAAACGGTAAACAATATCGCTCTTAGATCAAAGACATCCAACAAAAGGATGTTTAGTTTGTGAATCAAACTTCGTTTCCTACTGATTCAAATAGTGGGAGAATGAATTATAGGTGACAAAAAAGTGTTGAAATGTAAAAAGAGTGACTCTAGTTTTAATTATTAAGTGTAGGTGACAAATTTTTAATCAATTTTTAAAAATAATTAAATAAGTCCTCAAGTTTTTGTTCCTAATTTCTAAAATAGGAAAACCCCAAATCAGTT